GTGGAAAAAGATCCCTTTGAAGGTCTGTCCATCCTGGGAGCAGACTCCGCGAGAATCACATGCGTCCTCAATCACACCTCCGCGCCCAAGTCCCTTCCACTGCTGGCTGGAGGTATGTGGCCACCCGGTAGCCTGCAGTACTTGGCGAACAAGCTCGTGGCCGTCGCGCAGATAGACTTGCGAGTTTGTGGCTAGCCAGAGTCCCCTCAGCCCGCTGAGAATGACTCCTTGATTGTAGGTGTAGACCATAGAGTTGAGCTCGTCGCATTGTCCCGAGCCGGGATTTGATGTGCTTTGCCAGCCACTAATGTGGAAACCATCTGCATAGAGACCGCCGATCCCAGTCATATTTGAGTTTTTAAGCCATTCATACCCGTCAATTGCAGCCTGCATATGAAGAGGGTCGTGCGGGTTCTTCCGTGAGGGCTCTGTGCCTTGTGAGTCGAAAAGGAACGGGGCTTCAATGGAATCTCCAGGGAAGTACAAATACATCTCGATGCTTGCAGAGATATAGAGCTGGTTCGTAATCGCATTCTTATACGGCAGCAAATATGGGCTCCAGATCATGCCGCCCTCGCAGAGGGTCTTGTCCCAACCAGCGGAGGCGAGTTCGTAAAAGATGCGTGCTCTGTGCGCAGCAGAGTTACGAAACTGGGTACCGTACCAAAGTTCTCCAGAACCGTTGTTTGAGGAGACATAGTGAAGGTCTGAGTGAAGATTTTGGAACTTGATATTTTCCAACCACCCGAGCACAACCCATAGCATGTCATCGTAAGCCTGGTTTCTGAGACTGAAAGAGTTTTCGCCAAAGTAGAACGCAGAAGTGTGGCTGAAAAATCTATTGACCGTATTCTCAAGCCTGAAGAAGGATAATCCTTGCAATTGATCAGTGCCGGGGACATCAAGCGGGCCCGAGGTTAGAGACGAGAGCGCTGCCGAAACGTGCGTGCCCAACACCGCCGCAGTCCAATCGATGCTGGTCGGCCACGTGCCCTGCCACAGCACAAAGTACCTGTCTTGCATCACCTGCAGGGCAGCGATAAGATCCTGCAAGGTATTCAGAATGGGGTTGTGAATGGACCCTTCCGGCGCTGATTCAGTACCCCCAAAGACAGTCTCCTTTGAGGAATCATCAATCGAACTGGAAAATGAAGGCACTCCCAAAGTTTCCTGGGATGGATACGCCAGCCCGTTGGCCACAGCTGAAAACGATAGGAAGCATAGCATAAGAATGCGGTATAGATATCGCGATAGCCCCAAGGAGGTAGAAGATGTGTGTTGGGGAGCCATTCTGCCCCAGGAAATATATCCTGTCAGAATAAGACCCCCAGACACAAGATCCCGGAGTCCGTCTATAAGAATAGAGAGTGCGCAACGACTAAAAAAGAGGAGCTGCGATAGCCTCATGCGCCATGCGGGGAAAAATGGGGTTAAGCTTAGTCACCAGACCCGCTGCCCACCTGGGCAATGGGCAGGTGAGGACATCCACATACATTGTATTGGCATCAAAGCCTTGTTATCACCCTGTAAAATCATTGAAGCCTTTTGAGATTCTACAATACTAACTCTAGAGTCGAAAAAAAATCCACTCTACTCCAACGCCACATGGTTGTCGCATGATGTACGCCGTGGGATCCTACATAGCAATACTACATCGTACACTACGGAGTCTTAATATACCATTTTTGATTTTGTCGTGAAATGAGTCACAACACAAGTGGACGTAATGAAAGGTCGCTTATAACTAAGAAAACCCATTCTTCATAATGTACATTACTCCCAGACGCTGGGCTTTTGGGGTCCAAGTTGTCTTTGTTAACCGAATACTCATACGCCAATTTCAATTTTCATCAAACGGCCTTTTAGTGGAAGTCAGCATAATTGTAGTCAAAGGTTAAGAACGGATTTCCATACCATCATGGCAATCTATCGTGGCGCCGGCACGTACCCCTTGCGTGTATGTGTCCCATGCACACCCACAATCGGCCTGTGGACCCATACAGATTCGATTGAGGAGGGGTCGTGCCGGCGGATGCTAGATGATATGTCCATCATTTGTAGACAAGTTCTGGCAGGGAGGGTGGGCAAAGGTTGGAACAAAACAGCACAAGGTATTGAAAAAGAAAATGAGGGAAAAAGCAAAGCCCAGGTATCAATGGAACATCGCAAGCAATGTATGCTGGTCAAAATTTATCATTCCCGTCCATTAGGAAAGCTTAGTCCCGGTCGCCACCAGCTTCGGGGCTGCGACTCCGGTTGGGGCTTCTGCTGCGATTCCGAGTAGCCCGGCCCTTTGGCCCTCCGTTCTTGTTCTTGCCTGATGGGGGCGGGCGGACAAAAGCATAGTCGACATGGAGCGTCTGTTCAAGGAGCTTGTAACCGTTAAGGTTCTGGATAGCTTCACTGGCTTCGGGGAGAGTGGAGTATTCGATCAATGCGTAGCCCTACCGGAATAGTGCCGTTAGCAATTGTTTCATTGGTATTGAGTTGACAAAGACCCCATATGTCAGGAGGGATGTTCTTAAGGGTCGGGTCAGAGGTAGCTGTGGGATTGATGATGCGCACCTTGACATAACCAGTTCGTCGATCAAGGTTCAAGCTGAAGTTTTTGATTTCACCGTACTCCGCAAAGAGTTCAGTGACATCTTCCTCGGATGATTCCTCGTGGATATTAGACGCGATGATAATCCATCCTTCGATACTGCGCACGGCGACCGCGTTCCCCTGGGTGCGTGGCTCAAAACTGCGGTCCGACTGCTCGGGAGCATCGTCGTGTGCGACGGGAGGGTCAATTTCCATCTCGTTCGACATATTGTAAGGTATGGGAGCAAGGAGAATGCTGCGACTGTGTTGGTATTATGTTGGGACGTTCAGTCTGCACGTTTGTAGCGGTCAATGAGTCTGGGTCTGTGTCGCGATCTGAAGTCTGCAAAGGGTGGAGGGCGGTATTATTGGGCGGTCTCTTGGGCGGTCTTGGGCAACCTCGCCGGTCAAGAGAAGCTGGCAATCACATGACCACAGCCTACCCTTTCTAGGTCGATGCGTCTGATAAGTTTGAGCCTATAACATGTATCTAAATGATATTTCTTATATTTCTGAGCCTAAGCCAAGCAACAAAATGCTAGCTAGTATATATAGTCTAAGTGCAGAAAGCTAGTCATAGCATTACATCTCTACTAAAAACCTCATATGGCTACACATGTTCACCTAGAACTAAACACTACCTATTGACATGAATAGTTGACTAGTGGGTGGACGCTATTATGTTTCTCTGCTTTGACAGCTTGAGACACCTTCCTTCCTCTTTCAAAGCCTGAGTCTGCAGCAGAAATGTCAAGGGAGTGGAGATTTATATTCGCTACCCTGTCTGGTATGTCTCTGGTATGTCTCTCAGCAAGTACAAAACAGCGATTAGCTGCGCTTGTCCATCTGAAGGAGTATCAAAGTTAAAGACCAAAAAAAAAAAAAAAAGTAAAAAAGATAAACAGTTGGTTCAAATACAGG